CACTCGTGCACTGATTAATGTCGATATGCAAGAATAAGATCCGGCATGTAAACAAAACATTCAACTCAGGATACAGGACAAATAAGAAGGCAAGCGACAGAGTTGATTGTGGGATTACCATGATTGTACGCATGCAAGATTGTCCCCTGATTTGAGCGTGAGACTTCCAGGTTGGATGTCTCAGCCACTACTACCATGCCTGTTGTGAGGCTCTTATAATTGTCATGCCCTTGCATGTTTCCATAATTTAAACCTAGTGATTGGATAAAAGCCCCCACTTCACTCTTTAGGCTTTTTGGTACTTGTACCATGCTATCCCATGGAACTCAACCGAGTTCTGCCAACAAGTAGTCTATCCATTGGCAGTTAGTTAGAATTTTGAAGGCAACCACTGAACTATATGTAGATCCTCGGAAGCTGATTAAAAGTTCTAGTACTTAGATGCTTCATTTCTCAAACCAAGCATATATTACCAATTACTACAAGAATACGTCTCCAACTGCAATTATCACACATCCTAATTGGAAGTAGCTTAATCCTTACTTCAGAAGATGAGGAACATCAAGATCTACCTATCCACGCTTCAAACCTGTCTGATCTGCTCAAAATAGAGATTACTATGAAAGCAAACTAAATCTTCTATAGATTTGCGACACTAAACAAATCATAACACCATTTGGATCAATGCTGCTGGCAGATCTACTCATAAACGGATTAACAAGACAATTCCTAAAGCTCATTCGAGATCAAACTAAATTGTTCGACGATCAAACCTACTTCTTTTGGCCACCAGCTCTTAGCAACTAAATACTTCGGAAAAACACAACAAATCTCGAAAAGAAACACCACAGCACCAGATCGAGAAAAGCAAGAGCACAATAACTCACAAATCCAGATCAGAAAAGGAAAGAAACGGCAGGGACTAACCTTTCTTGGCCAGCAGTGTCCCAAATCTGAGCCTTAATGACCTTTCCATCAACAGTCAAGCTGCGAGTGGCGAACTCAACGCCAATGGTGGATTTGGACTCGAGGCTGAACTCGTTCCTGGTGAACCTGGAGAGCAGGTTGGACTTGCCGACTCCGGAGTCGCCGATCAGCACCACCTTGAAGAGGTAGTCGTAGTCGTCCTCAGCTTTGTAACCCGCCATCTCCACTCTCCCACCAACAACACTTGAAACTTACTTTCTTTCTGCTTCAAGAGAAGGAAGGAAGAGGCGAGATGCAATTTTTTAAAGCGTTTAAGTACCTCTCTTCACTTTTGTAATTGGTTAAACCCCATTTTGGTCCCTGAACTATTTTACAGATCCTTAATTTGGTCCTTAAACTAAAAAAAATTCTTGATTTGATCCCTATGATTTACCAATTTTACCTCAACTTGATCCTTTTGTTGAAAATGTAGTGACGTGTTCCGTTAATTAACCGGAGTATGATGACATGTCAACCGCACATATGGAGATGTCATAAAACATGTCAGATTCTTGGCCAACAAAAAAAAATGTGGGGCCCACATCCTGCCCAAACTCATTATCTTCTCCCCTTCTTCCCATTTGAACCCTAAAAGAGTAGAAGGCAAATTGTACCTGCAATCGTCATTGGGTTCCCAAGAGCTAGGTTCGTTCAAGAACCTCGGCATTGGGTTCCTTCGAGAACTCAAGCGTTGGGTTCCTTCTCGAACCTAGGTCCTGGTTTTGTTGGAAACCAAACGCTGAGTTCCTTCGAGAACCTAAGCGCTGGGTTCATTGAAACCCAGGCACAGGGTTTCGTTGGAACCCAAACCCTAGGTTTCGTTGGAACCCAAACCCTAGGTTTCTTCTTGAACCTAAGCACTGGGTTCCTTCGAGAACCCAAGCGCTGGGTTCGTTGGAACTAGGTGCTAGGTTTGTTCGAACCTAGGGGCAAAAAAATTTCTTTTTTTTTTTTTTTTTTTTTGTGGGTTTGGTTGCTTGATGAAGATGAAAAATGAAGGAAAAAGGAAGGGCACCTGTTGGGTTCGATTCAATCTAGGCTTTGGGTTCCTTTGAATTGATTGTTTAATTATTTTATTGAATTGATTGTTTGAATGAAGGAAGATTCGAGAAAGAAGATGCTAGAGGAAGAAGATAATGACAAAATTGTAATTTGGTGGGTCTCACTTTTTTCAATGTTGGGTATGAATATGACATGTCATGTTGCCATGTCATCATTTATCCATTTGTACAATTGATGTGTCTCAAATTTTTTACATGTCTATAAGTTAACAGTGGAATTTTAACGAAAGGATCAAGTTGAGATAAAATTGCTAAACATTAAGGATCAAATCAGAAATTTTTTTAGTTTAAAGATCAAATTGGGGATCCATACAATAGTTTAGGGACCAAATAAGGGTTTTAACCTTTGTAATTTTGTTTGTCTCAAGAAATTTTTTCTTTTCTTTTTTTTTTTTTGAAAAAAAAGACTTTAATTGGGCTAAGCTGTCTGCTTGGCTGGACTAAAGAGTCCAGGGTGGAATTTAGAGAAATGTGGGGATTATTTTTTTTTTTTAGGGAAAAAATGTTTTACAAAACAAAATGTACTGTTAGAGAGTACAGTTTAATTTGTAAAAAGTTAATAAAATATTTTCAATAAAGTTATTTT